CTACCCCTTTAGAAAAGGGAGGAAAAGTAGGAGATGGGGTGGAAGGGGGCATTCTTCCAAAACAAAGATAGAGCAGTAGGGAGAAAATGATCCATTAATAGTAAACTAGGATCACTCTGATTGGATTATTACTGATTACAGATGAGCAGCCAGTAGTGCTCAATCCTATAATGTGCTCCTCTCTAAATTAGTTTATGAAACTTCACTTAGTGTTGTATTATGAATGGGTTATATGCACGGAAGTGTCGTTCAGCCACTGAAATCTTCCGGTGAAAAAATTGATGTGCTTATTTTCAGTTTCATAAGGGACCTTTTACAGCATTGATAATGTAGATTTTTATTTACTTTAACAACAAAACATTAGTAAACAGCGCTCTTCCATCTAGCCTGCTCTACTGAGGTGAAGTTTTATATTTGCTTTGGTCCTTTTTTGAACAATGACAACCTGTGACATGCTCCCTATATTTTTTACCATGCTACTCTGAATGTACGATCTGAAATAGCATGCAAGTATGGCTTAGTAATAAGTGTAATTCCTGCATGCAGCCAGCCAACCACTAAGTATACTGTCGTCACTTTAGGACAAAGCATGTGAGAGTGTGAGCCCTGCAATCCTTGCATGCATGATATATGAAGTATTTCTTGCGACACAACTGAAAACGTGGTAGATATAATACAGTTTTTCATTCGGAATTGTTTTATTTTAAAGTACTACAAGGTTTTTGAACTGGCGCAAATGGCATGATCTAGTGGGTTGTCTGCTGTGATCTTTAAGGTGCACATGTTTGTGTTTCAGGAGGCGTGGCTTTTGGATGGCAGGGGAGGGACTGTATTTCAAAGATATTATACTGATCGGTTAGCACTTCGGCAGATCACTGCTGCACCTTTAAGATCAAAACTGGAATATTGCATGAATCTGATCTCACTTCTTGATAAACTGGTGGCAAATATTTCAAAGAAAACATTTATTTGCTGGGGTAGGAGAAGCCACTGTGGGCCTTTTATCTTATATGATAAATTACTTTTTTTTTTTTTTTTTTTTACGACAAATGCATTCTGGAGGTAATTATACCAAACCTTTTTGATGACAGACTAGGTTAAGGGATTTTAGAATGATATTGTGCAATGTGCACCCGCTTTGAATGTTATCACTCGATTGAATGGGCATTATCAACTGATAGATATGGGCCAGTGGGGGCCTTCTGCGCCTACTGGTAGGCACAAAACGCTGTTATCGTCAATCAACGTGGTTTATCAGCTACACTAATAGAGAAAACTCCAGATCCAGATCTGTTTTTACATTGCTGTGACTGTTGGGTTTAGGGTTGTGGTAGGAGATGTTAGTAAAATACAATTATTGGGAAATTTAATATATAATATAAATAATTCTTGTTGTCTTCCGGCCCCAGCCATATGTGATCTATAGCTCATTAACCATGTGGATGGATGATAACAGCCTTCTGAGCCTACCAGTAGGCCCCTACTGTCCCATGTCATCAACTGATAACCACTGATAAGGCCTATTCAATTGAGTGAGAACTTTCCAATTCAATTTTATGTGCATGCTGGAATTTATTCAGAATCTGTCAGACCTTCTATTTTTCCAGATTCTGTCGCACAATTTTGTGATCCTGCAAAGTTATTAACTTACCGAAAAATAATCGCAGAAATGTAAATAATCGTATAAAACATCCAAATCCAAACCATATAATTAAATGATTTTTATTTCGGTTGGCAGTTAATTGTTTTACATGACTTTTAGACCAAATATCACGTCTTACTTGCGCCCGTACATTCCAAACATTACATGAGAGTGGGGGAATTGTTTTGCAGCCTGTGCAGTAAGCAGATGCAGATGAAGTGCAAGGGATTTACATGTGAAGTCAATGCAAAGATTGGATTAGGCATCCTATGGCGCTGAGTGGGTGTTTGGTGTGTTTGACGTGCATCAGACTGCAAAAGTTGGAGCAAACATCTAACATCAGTTTACAATGATGGAGATTGGTTCAAGGATGACGGCAGCTGGACGTGACTGAATTGAAGGACATTAATTTTGCTTTACATATATGTCTACTATTATGGTGTGCGTAGAATCGTAAATTCATAAAAAACGTAAAAACTCTTTCCCTGCAGTTAACAAGAGAAAACGATTTCCTACCATTGACAAGTTTTACCACAATCCGTGTTTTAAGTGTAATACGGTAGGGGAAGCCCTAACGCATGTCCTGAGTGAGGTGCTTGATGTCAGATGCTCCAGAGAGTGAAATCTGAGAGAAAGCAAGACTGTGGATAAAAATAAGAGTTATGCAACCTTCCTTTGAATTAATCCCTACCGTTTTAGATCTTGTCTTGACAAGAGACCAAAATAAAGATGTTTTATTTTTATGATTTGTGTCATTGTGTCAGGTTGCACAGCTAACATAGTAGTTAATGTTTTTTTAATCGCAAAATTGTCTGCAAATTTCTGGGAATTACCACCTCAAAATCAGTCATTTTTATCACAAGAAATCTCAAAAAGAATCGTGAAAAACTAGGGGCTCTGAAAGGTGTTTCCATGTTAGTTAATGCCCATGTTTTATCATATCATCATAAAAATACAGTAGGTGGATGGAAGCATAGCTATAGACCAATAGGATAGAAGACAACTGAGCTTCTTCTGTAAACACAGAAATGCAAAAAAACATTTATACAAATAATGATAATTGGCTCATTGTGTCTACAATGTGAATGATCAGATTTCTGGATTTCCGACTTGTTTGCTAAATCAGTCAGTTAAGTTGTTAAGGATCAGTAGACTTATGTTGTGTTCTCCTTCTCCAAGAATTATCAAATCAAGGGTGTCCGTTTCAATGAGGCCTGCATTCATACTACTAATTAGCTAAACCGATCTGCAATTTGCTGAGGTCAGACGAGTTTTTTAATTAAAAAGCTGTTGAATCCAATGAACTCCTCGAGTAGCAGGTAGCGCAAGAGGAAGATACATATATATATATATATATATATATATATATATATATATATATATATATACAGTATATCTTACATTTATATATTTTTTATTAAATGTTATCTCATGCCATACATCCACTTGTTCATCATCATCTTATTGCAACAATCTCCTTAACGCCTTCCCAATTCTTTCTTTCTGTAAAAATTTGAGAGTATTTTAGGATGTTTTAACACTGGTGTATTTGAACATGAGAATGATAATCCAGGATAAACTGCATATCACATAACATATTTGGATACCATCCACTGTAATCTCTTATGAATGAAGTATTATGGAAATATGCAAATAGGGCTAAATGTGATCACTTTAATGAATGAATGTTGGTGAAAATGTGTTTTCCACAGGTTTAATTGCGTAGTTGAAGATTAAAATATGATTGCAATCTTTGATTAATGTTGTATGGATTACTAATGTGCTAAAAATGATTGAATCTAAGGAAATGCTCCTTAAAGGAACAGTTCACACAAAATGAAAATGCACTGCACATTTACTGACCCTTTGACTATAGATGCATTTGACATTATTTTGATTATTGACTTTTTAATTTTTTTTTGTTGAAACTGTGGTGTTTGGTGATTTATACAATGCAAGTCAAAGGCTACTAGCAATTGTAGCATCAGAAAGGCAAAACAAAATGTATGCATGTGACTCCTGAGTATATACACTGATGTTTATTAGGTGAAATGATGTGTCTGTGCAAGATTCTTGCATAGACTGACTGTTTAGCTTTGCAAGACCTCACTCTTTTGTCAAGAGCTGCAGTAGGTAAGCCTATTATTTTTTGCTTGTGAAAATACATATATACTATGCTTGAGTGTGTAAATATAAATATATTTGCATATGTGGAATATAACAACATGCTTACCTAGCTGCTGACAATACTTTCAGTTCTTGAAAAGACAATAAATACAACTTAAATACGCTAAAGTGAAAGATTTCCCTACCAAGCAAAAAGGATTTAACTGGGCAGTTGTTCATCTTCAGGAATTCTTCTCTGGAAATTAGCAGTTGTTTTAACCTTTCTAGTCATGTTTGACCTTTAATAGGAACTTCAGCTCGACCAGTCTCAAGAAAATTATCCATCTTTATGAAAAACTAGAACATCATGTGGCAATTAAACAATAGATACATCAAGAGCTAATGATCGAAGCAAAGATAATAATGTATATGTGACGATGATGATGGCCCTCTGGTCATCGAGGAGGAGGAGGAGGCAGAGAACCAACAAACTTTTTAATATTTTTTTTATTATGAAAAATAAACAAAGCAAACAGCCGGCAGCTCCTCATGGAGACTACCGCCAAACTAAAAGCAAAACATAAATTGATTTTAAATAAATTGACTCTCTCATCTTACAATGCCGGCTCTCCTTTTATTATCTTGACTTTATCGACTTTATCTTTAAGACTCGAGACGGGTGCGCAAACAGGTGCTGCTTGTTATCACTCACGTGACTGGCCTTGCGCCGTTCTCATGTCTCTCAGTCCCACCCCACTCACTTCAGAATACAGTATATTTTCTACTGCAAATGTTAATGTTATTTTGACGATTTTAAGTTGATTGAACATAAACCTATTTGGCTGTCCTCTCCAAAAAAGCCAAATAATTGTGTTTCAGCTCTTTTTAACATATTTAAACTAGCAGCAAACATATTTCTTGAGTGTATGACAATAGAGGACTATAGCACATTAAAATATTTAGGATAGGTGTATATATATATATATATATATATATATATATATATATATATATATATATATACACACAGATGGGTTTGATGATCGCTTCATTGACTGAAAAGAAAAGGGAAAAAAGAAAAGAAAAGAGTGCAGTTGTCCATCATAAAGGAGGAATATATTTGAATTTGTTTGGAGCAAATATTTTCCTCATTCTCCGTGTTGACCTGAGCACTTGCAGTGCCTGTCTTCTCCGCATGCGTTCACCCCGAGTTCAGCTCTAGTTAGGGAGACACGCGAACTGATGGGGAGTCAGTTTCCTCACCTATCCGAGCGCGAGAGCACCACCGACCGCGTTCTCTCTGTTTCCAGGAGTATTACTGCCTCTTTCCCCGCACGCAACCGGCTCGTTACTGCACTGAACATCCTCTGGCAGAATTTGTGCGGGTCTTATTAAAGAGTATTGAAAACGACGAGGCTCAGAACGAGGCTGAAGCATCTTTAAGAGCGCGCGCATCTCTCTGAGCGCGCGAGCAACATATGTGCTGCCTCTGAAGACGCGCTACAGCACCACAGTGTGTCTGATAAACGACCGAATATACGTTTCAAAACGAAAACTTTCAAGGAATATTCTCGAGCATTTGAAGCGGATTTCCTCTCAGCCACACCGAGTAAAACTAATAGTTTTGGAGATATTTTAAAGACGGAATACGAAGTGAACGCTGCGTTCCGAGGGGAATCACATACACGCTCCTTCAGTAAAACGGTTGATCTTTGCGGACGGAAGTTTCTGAGTTTCCTCACGGAACAAAATGGGCATAACTGGTTATTTTGAGCTGCAGTGGAAATGCCTGGTTGTTGTGGCTCTAAGACTGCTGTTCCTTGTGCCCGCAGGAGTGCCAGCGAGAAGCGGAGACTCTTATTTAAAGGACAACATCACTGTCAGACAGGGAGACAGTGCTGTCTTGAAGTAAGTCAACGATCATTTTATTTACATCATGACAAGTGTGTGCATACAGTTTCATGCTGCTTGCTTTTTCATGTTACGCGCTTTTTGGAGCATCTTTACAAACATGTGGGTTTAATTTGTGCATTCAACCATGTGCTTCAAATGTGCAATTTATTAAGAAATCCAGCGTTTGTTTACCCAGAGATACTTTTAAGTGCTCGTCCTTAATTTTATTGGAGTGTAAATATTATGATTTAATCTGACTGCTGTTTGCGCTGCTTTTTTTTCTGCCGGAGTTGTTTTGGGAATCCGTGGTGAGATGCGATCTGTCTGCTAATGCAATCAGCATGCAGTCTGGTCTGTGCAATCAGCTTTGGTGGCCTATTTAGAGAAGTAGTTCATCAACAAATCAAATTTAAGTTTGACAGAATTTTCCATTCCCCCTCTTTCAGTCAGTCTCCCATCTTGAACATCTCTGCCTTCTCATTCCCCCATTCTCTCTGACTCACACACACGGGCACGCACGCACACATAATACACTCCTGACTCCGACACACACATGCACACATAGTCACTCGTGGACGCCCACATGCACTTACAGTAACATCATTGTCTCTCTAATGGATATTCCGTGAAGTTATGTACATTAGGGGGTAAACAGGCAATCGTTGTCCCTGCTGCGGGAATCGGGGTAAAGTAGCCTCTGCCTCCTCCGTTTTCGCGTTCGCGTGGTACCAGACGCAGCAGGGGACGTTTTGTGTGGCCGAAGACAGTGCCCTGTGCGCGTGTCCTTTGACGCTTGGCTCCAGAACCTCCGTCCAAAACAATGTCATTCTGTCTGGAACAAAGCTGCACAGCAACATTGCTGAAGACTGCAACAGTCCGTCGGTCTGTCAAGATCCTTAAAGAGGAGTTAGTCGCATGAATAAACCTATTTTAAATGAAGAGACATTCATGTGCAGAATGACCCTTTTTGTGTTAATAAACTGTACATACATAGCATTTATTTATCTGAACTGCATGCATGTAGAGATGGATGAATAAATAGAATAATAGACATTGATAGATAGACTGACACTTCATTACTGTAACTGAAAGAGTACTGTAAATATAGAGTAGAACCCAATTTTAACAAAGAAGCTAATTGTAAGTGTATTTATTATATCCATTTTTATTGTATTGTGTGGCCAGCATCTTGCAAAAGTTATTTTACTTTGTAAAAAGTTGATTTTGTTGTCTATGAGAGCCTGTAGGATTATTTTTATGTGAAGGATTGGTACGTGTGTTGATAGTGCTGAATTATGTAAATGCATGATGCATAGATAAACTGTTAATTAGATCATATCTCGCCCGTGTTAATCTCTTCAGTGGTTGCCATTTTGGTTCAGAATTGAGTTTAAAATGTTATTGTTTGTTTTTAAAGCTCTGAGAGGAACTAATACGGTATCTCTGTGGTCTTTTAAACCCGATTACAGTACAACTGTTAGACCGCCGAGATTGCAAAGAGTTTTTATGGTCACAAGATCTAGATTGAAGTTAAGAGTGGATCGTGTTTTTTGAATGCCGGGCCTAAATGGACCCTTTTCACAAGCCTGTTATGACGCGTTTATCAGCATCTTAAATCCTTGGAGGTTTTTAGTATTTATATTTATTTTTTAATCGTATGAAGATTTCTATGTATTTATGTATGTAGTATATCATCTTTAAACTACAAAAAAATAATTACCCCCTGTGTGAGGCATTTCTAATGTAGCATCTATGAGACAGGACAGTACATTTGACATTATTCTCTCCTCTCATCAGTCTCAAACATTTTTTTTTTCCTTTTTTTGAATTTTGTATATTTTGTTGTATTCTCCCATTCAATGCGCTTCAAGTTTTACTATTTACTATTACTATGACGACTTCTGGAAATGAGAAAAGGGCCTATTATGAAATAGTCATACAGTCTCCATTCACTTAGTCTCTCAGAATCTGAATTTAAAAACCAAGCTTAACTTTTCTAAAGCTCATAACTGTTTATAAACTATAAGAAATATTCATTCATCAATGTTGTTCTGCACTTTGCTCATTTATATCTATATTTATGTCTTTAGCATGATTTGTCGATTTGTCGATTTGTCATACTGGTCAACTTCTGTTTGTATTTTGCTTTATAAATGAATTTGATTGATTGGTTTGTTGATTGATTGATTGATTGATTGATTGATTGATTGATAATTCATACTACCATTTTATGTAGCCTGATTCATGCACAGTGTTCAGCATGATTGAGTAAACCCCATTTAAAAAATGAATATTTTTTATCCATTTCTCAGTGATTATAGGCAATGTATTTTGGTGCATTTGAACAAAATTTGTTAAAGATATATTTATTAAAATAATATTTTAGTCACCAAACATATTCAGAAATACAATAAAAATAATACAATTAAATTCAAGCTAAATATTGCAAAAAAATAAAATAAAATACAACCTACAAAATTAAAAAAAAAAAAAATTAAATAGTTTTTCTTCTCTGTTAGTTTTTCCTCATTTTTAAATTTGTATTTAATATTTTTCTATAACATATAAATTTGGCTGTATTAGTTTTTGAACCTTTATCATAAGCTATTTTGTTAGATAAGCTTCAGATTTGGCTTCAGTAGTGACTAATCTAATGTATATGCACAAATTTAATATTGTATGACTTCCTATTAAAATATGAATTTAAATGATATATTTGTGAGGAGTGTACTTATATATGCTGAGCACTGTAATTATAATCTCAAACACATGTTATAAAACATATGTTACATATCTATCAACATGAAGCCAGTGAATTGAAGAGTTTGTGCAAAAAAACTTACTTTGCTGCTTTCTTACTGTTTTCTCTCTTCTGTCATTTTTCTTGTGTTTATTTTATTGAGAAGATAGCACACAGCACACATTTACATATACATCTCAACTGGATGCTCGTTATCAGTATTTTGCTGTGAAGGTGTTTTGAACTTCTAAAAAAGAAGGTTAATCATTATGCATGAGCGTAAACACATGCAAAAAGTTGCTACCAATATCTTTAATAACATGGGATGTTGAATATTACTTCTAGCACCAGTATTGTAAAGCTGATATTAACATTTTAAATGTGTTCTTGTTTTAAATTATGTTATGCATAGCTAAAATATTATTAACAAAGGAGTTGCAACTGTTTAGAGTTATTACATAAAATAAACAGTTAATGTTAATAAATAATATTCTGGGAATGATGACGTGAAAATGAAAGTATTAATCATGTTGAATCAATTCAATTTTAAGAATATTTGATATGCTAAGGATCTTAAAAGGATAGTTCACCCAAAAAATGAAAATTACCTCATCATTTATTCATTCTCATGTGATTTTAAAACCTAATAATTGTAGTATTCATCTTAGTTGTTTTATTAAACTATGCATACCCAGGGTCCGCACTTCATTTGGACACTACTACACTTTTTTGCTGTTGATGCTTGGAATCATCTGCAGCAGACCTTAAAGCTTAACACTTTTATTCCAGTATCATCCTTGAAACATTCAATTGAGTTACTAATACAAGATCCCTTTGCTTGTTTTTCCTTAGTTTTATATTTTAATATCTGCATCTGTAAAATTATTGTATTGTGCCTCTGCTGCTTTGTATCTGCTGTTTATGTTGCCTCTTGGCCAGGTCGTCATTGTAAATGAGAACCGATTTTCAATTAACTTACCTGGTTAAATAAAGGTTATGAATAAGTTTCTTTATACTAAGATTTTTTTTCTGTTTTAAGAATGCTGGTTGATGGGACCCATCAACTTCTCTATAGGGTGGACATACTAGGTTTAACCAGCATTTTTCAATCACGTGGTTCTGGTGACGCGCAAAATTCAGATGGAGGGCAGGAAGTAAAAAACTGAATGTAAGACACAGAGAAAGTTTTTACTTTTGCTATTTATACCATATTTGAAAGGAGATATGAATAGAAAAAATCCACATATGTTGGGTATGATATACTTATGTCATGAAGAGGGCCGAGTTTTCTACTAAACTCAAATATATATACATCTCATCGAGACGGTATAGTAGATATGGTATAAGCTTTACGTTACATGTATTAATACTAGTGTTTGGTAGCATAGATAATTACTTGAAAGTATTATTTATATTGTTGCTGTGGTACGTCACAACTGTAGTATTAAACAAATTATTCAGTAGACTTTAGTTTTTATAATTATACACCATTACGCACCACAGTTTACACTGACACTATTTATTACAGTTTATCAGTTTACTATGCTACCGGTAGCATTTATTAACAAAAAGTTGTGCACATTATTCACTTTACTTTGTGGTTCAAAAACATCTTTACTATCATTACTATAGATTTTTTCCCATTGCGGATATCCTCAAGACATCACGGATGCAATAGCGTGGATGCACAGTTTACATTATATTTATTTCTTCTTGTAAGGAAAAAAGGTACTCCACAATAATAACCGTCTTAATTTGTTGCAAGAGTTGCATTTCTTTTTTTTTTTGTTTGTTATGTCAATGAATTTACTATCAACAAAGATTCATCTCTGCTGCGCATCTCAATGTTTATGTTACGGTTGTTTATTCAGCCAAAACGCCAGTAAAGACTTGGAATATTGCAAAACAAGAAAAGGATTAAATTCTGCGATTACATGGCAGGATACGTTATTTGTATTCTGGATTTTGTATAAGTGTGATGGTGTTTGTATCTGATTTTTATTTAACATATTTATAAACTGTAATCATTATTGGTTCTGTCAAAGAAGTTATTGCATTCAAAAAATGTTTTTACACATGGATATATTGAATAAATGTTTATTACATGCCACCTTTTCTTTAGTTATTAAGTCAATTTCTTGAATTTCCCCCCTTTATGAGCAAAACATTTTGGAAGTCTATACAAGCTGTTCGTCGTTTCTTATTTTGGCCGATTTAAACAATTGTAAACAACATAAAACAGAAACATTTTGATGTTCTGATAGCAAATTCTATG